ATAGAATTACAACTAAACAGGTATACTTAGTCAATTCAGTTTCAATTTCAGTCTGTCAGTTCAGTAGTTTATTTAGTTCATTTATCAGTCATAATCAGTTTCAGTTTAACGGTAATCAGTGGTTATTCGGTAAACAGTGACGAGGGTTGTTACAGTAATACAACCTCGTCTACTGAATTGGAGCAATTTAGAAATTCCTCGACAATGGTTAATCTAAGACCTAGTGGGACAAAGAGAATCTTCTAAAACAAAAAATCTTGCACAATTACAAATGCAAGCAACAGGAAAAAATTTATATATTGAAAATACAGTTTCAAAAATTAAAAGATCAACTTCTGTATTTGAAAAAGATTTTCTTAATAAATCATTTTCAAAATTAAACATTGGAGGATCAAGTAATAATTCTAATCAAGAATCTATTACTTCAAACAATGTTCAGATTCCTATTTTTCCAGGAACAAGAAAACAACTTGAACATATTAAGTTTGTATGTATGTATCATTTTTAAACAAAAAATGATGATATTATTTTTTCTCCTAGCCAAGGAAAAAGAAGTTATACATATGTATTGGGAACATTTAATTTTGCAGGTTTTAAACCATATAGCCTTAGTGTTCTTATAGATACAGGAGCTACAGTCAACTCATGTAAATGGAATGCCATACCAAAAGAAAAATGGACATTAATGAAACATCTAATTTTGGTTACTGGAATTGATGGCAACCATACTTTCATACAATTCAAGGCTAAACATATAGCTATTTGGTTAAATGATAGTAAGTTCATTATACTAAAAATTTTATATTTTCCATATATGCATGTTGATTTCCTTCTTGGCAATAATTTTATATATAAATACATTCCAATGCAAATACAGGAAAAAACTATTTCATTAAGCATAAATAATGTCTTAATTCATATTCCCTTGTTAGGACAACATAAATATATTTGTGATAAAGAATTTGCGCCCGTGCCGCATGGTGATTTAACTCCCATCATCAAAATCAGTGATGAATAACACTGGATTTATAAAATTTTGAAAGAAAATTTTAGTGAACATCCATTAAAACTATGGCAACGTAGTCCACGTTATTGTAGTTTAAAATTAAAAGACCCTAACGTTATTATTAGGATAAAACCAATGATCTATACTAGATAAGATATGGATGAGTGGCAATGTAAGAGTGTTTGACCAACTCAGTACAAAGTTGCATGAAACTTGTGATTTAAACTTCATCAAAACCAATAAATCTGCAAAGCACTAGCATTTTGATCAATTCAGTTGTGTTTTGGGAAGATGGATAAAAGTTAATTTTTTTGTTTTTTTGTAATTTTTTGACTTTTTTAGTGTAAAAAAATAGAGAAGTAAATGTGATTAAAAAAAATCAAAAAGTCAAAAAACTAACTTTTAACTAGCTTGCCAAAACGGCCACAGTTACAAAGTTGCATGTTAAACTTATGATATCGTTTGGAAACAACTTACTATTTTAGTAATTTTTTAACTACAATATGAGATAAAAAGTTAGTATATTTGGAATAATTTTTTTCATTTTTTACGAGAAGATAAGTAAAAAGTACGGAGAAAAAAAAAACCTTTAACTTTTTTTTGTATAATTTTTTAACTTTTTTAATAATTTTTTGACTTTTAAATTAAAAAGTGATGTTCTCATTAAGGTCCAAAATATTAAAATTTGACAAGATTAAAACAAAAAACACCCATTTAATACAAAATTGAAATGAATAATGCTAAATGCACTAATTAATATACTAATTAATGATGTGACATAATTTAAATTTTTTTTAATATTTGTAATTTATATAATGGGTGGGGTCAATGATAATATCATAACTAATATTAATATACTAATTAGTACACTAATTAATGCATGTAACACCACTGAAATACCCAACTATCACAATCAAAAGGCAAATATCGAACATCATCAATACATAAATAAATCACATAAATGAGTATTAAAATCTATCTATTTTTTGAAAATAAATTCAAAATTTAGTTAGGGTAAAAAATAATAATAATAAACACTTGGGGTATTTTTTTTGAGGTCCCTGATATTATGATTTTATAGTATAAAGGACATCAAATATTTTCATGATGTCTAAGGTCCCTCAATATTAATCCAAAGAAAATTGGTCCAGAGAAAATTCAAGTCAGAGAAAATTGGTCTAGAGAAATTCTGGGAAGAATTTCTCTGGACTTCCCGAAACTTCCCACTGTAAATTTCTCTACCCTTTTTTTTTTTGAACATAAGAATTCCCTTACCTCAACTCACTTCCTTGCTTCTCAAAGGTGAGGAAGAAAGGCAACAGTACAATATTATATACATACTTTCTCTCGAATCGCTCGCTGTCTCAATAACTCTCTGTACGTGTCTGGATCCTTCAAGTATTTGTTGTAAAGCCACTTGGATGTGTCGAGAGCATCTCCATTGCTTTGCACCAGATACAAATTCCTACTGCTTTGCTAATCATTTGTAAGCTTAATCCATTCCTTCCTCCAATCTTTCATGCGAAAATCATCACCCTTTTCCGAACTCTCTGCTCGGTATTTTTGTTACCTGTCAACACAAGTGTGAAAACTATGAATTGCAAGTCGGCACAGAGAAAATTCATATGTCCAGAGAAAATTTACAGTCCAGAGAAAATTCACACATCTGGAAAAAATTCATAGTCCAGAGAAATTTCACACATCAAGAGAAAAATCACACAATCCGGAGAAAATTCAATCTGATTTTGGATTTAAGAGACAATTTTTTTTTTTGGTGCGTGAAGGTACAAATTGTTACTTAATATGAGAATAGCATATGCTGAACAAGGTGTAGCATCTGGCCATGATAAAGGGAAGTTGTGTCATACCTTTCTGCATTTGCAATCACAAATGCTTTCAAAGCCCATCTTGGATAGCTCAAGTTTGCTAGTTTCTTCACAAATTTACTCTCTCCAGTCTGAATTGAAATCAGAGCTAAAACTACTAGAATCAGCACCGCACACTATAGAAAGTGGAAGTATATTGTCAGCAAAAAATAAAAACTAATTTATGGAAACTCATATTGAAAAGCTGATGAGCTTTCAATGCGAAATGTTATTGCTCACCAGTTGGGCAGGACCAAGTCCAAGGAAGATGGACAGTGCATAACCTATGCGAGTTACACAGTACATGAGGCACAACAATACAATGTAATTATCAACAAAAGAAGATCTGGGGTTACTGAAGGAATAGAACATTGAGAGATACACCACAGGCTTTATCACTGTATTAAAATGATCTATTGTTTCCTTGGAAAAAAAATGAGCCAGGCTGCTAATGCTAGAAGCACTCTCCATCCAATATTGTAACTTGTCCAGAGAAAATGTTCGCAAAGCCGCAATTTGGCATAAAAGAGCTGAAATCAACAGTATGAGGCACAGTAAGGAGGACAATCTTGAGCAAAACTCAGAGAAATTCACTGATAAATTCCCAGAGAAAATCACAAAAACTCAGAGAAACTTACTGATAAATTTCCAGGGAAAATCACAAAAATCCAGAGAAATTAAAAAAAAAGATACTAAAAAAACGGACAAACTTAAGAAATATGTTCAGGAGAAATATGTTCAATCCGCCACTAAGCCCATCTCCATCTCTCTCTAGCTGGGTCTCTCTCTCGGCAACTTTTCTTTCCATGCATGACCAACCTTTCTCTTGTTTTTCCATGAATGACAATTTGATGCCCACATAGACAATTGATCACCCTCTCTCTCTTTTGTATACACTGCAACTGCTCTCTCTCTCTCAACCTGATCTCTCTCTCTCTCTTTCAGGGTTCAAGACTGTGCTGGTGGTTGTTGGTGTAAAAAAAGAAAAGAAAAGAAAAGAGATACACACACAGCAACACACAAGCTCCCTTACTCTCTCGGTGATGGTCTCGTCCTCCGCCGACTTCTTCTTCCAGAACATGCAAATGTCGTCTCCGTCGCAGGGGAGGTTGCTAGAGTGCGCCATTGGAGAAGGAAAGGCAGGCCAGGTCGCGGATTCGGGCGACGCGGAGGTCTGCGACGGTGGCGGAGCGGAGGGAGGAGTCGGAGGAGAAGCTGTTGAGGAAGAGGTCGTAGAGGAGGGTGGAGAGAAGGGTGGAAGAGCAGAGCTTGTTGCCTTGGATCTGGAAAACAGTGGGTGAGAGAAGAAGAGAGAGAGAGAGAGTAGAGTAGAGATAAAGAGTCAAATTTCTCTGATATATGTTTAGGGACCTTACACATCAAAAAATAATTTTGTGGATCTCTTTCATTACGAAAAGTGGGAGAGGGACTCTAGACCAATTTTCCCTAAACACTTTATATGGCTAAAATAATTTTTGAAAAATCAAAAATATGTTTCTATGTTTTTTTTTTTTGTTTTTTTTTCTTGCCAAACTAATTTATAATTTTTCAAAAAAAATTCAAAAAATAAATTTTGAAAAAACAACTAAACAAATTATTTTTTGTGAAAAAATTCAATTGCAATGAATTGAAATATGATTGAACTAACCCACATCAACAATTATATAATTATGATCCAATACATATTCCTTAATAAAATATGTTTGTATATTTTTATTTGTGCCAAAGTTAAATGGACAATACAAGTAAGATAAAGAACCACTATCATAATTTAATTTTGCGTCGAGGTTTGGATTAGGATTAAAAAAAAGTACGTTCATGGAATATGATTTAAACATAGGAATTGATTTTCAATTGGAAACTAGCAAAAAGTCACAATCCATTGCAAATACAATCTCAATATTAAAATTAAAAAAAAAAAAAAAAACACTTTTATTAAACCTATACAAATGAGCCCATTTAACTTGTTTATTTAGATTTTAGATTAGATAGGGAAGAAAATATCCATTACAAAATTGATTAAAAAAAAAAATCGTTTTTTTTTTACTTTTTAAAATGATCATTTAACTTGTTTTTCTTAAGGTAGTATTTAGATGAGAATATTGAAATCCAATTGCAATAAAATGAAATTAACCAACATCCACAACTATCCACAATTATAATATTATGACCCAATATATACACTTGCATACATAAATAAAATTTAAAATAAATTTTTTTTAAAAAAAAAGAACCAAACACGTCATAATCGAAAGCATGAACGAACCCACTATTATTCCACCGAAATCTCTCGCGACACCGGCGGTGGCCGCTCAACGGTCTTCCTCTCCGCCGCCGTGGGACTCTCAATGCCTTTTCTAGCCGCCGATTCCGGCAACTCGAGGTTCTTAAGCCTCGGGGCCGATGCCCTCCGGCGCGGCGGCGACATCGGCAACCTGGCGGAGAAATCTTCGAGGTGAGCGTCCTCAGATAAGCCGTCGTCGAAATTGAGGGCGTAGCTCAGTGGATCGTAACTGAAATCTGCGGAGTGGCGGCGAGCGGGGCGGCCCATACGGGAGATGAGGTTCCGGCACCGGCCCTTGGTGTCCGGGAACTCGGGCTTGGATCTGAACCAGGACGATGGGGATCGGAGCACGGGGCTCGATTTGTTGACGTCTGGGGAGGACAAGGAAGAGTCGTAGGATTCGAATCGGCGGCTGTGGCCTTGGAAACAGCAAGAGAGGCTCATTGTGCCCTTCCTCCGCCTGTGCCTCAGAGATGTAGTCTCTCGTTCATCCTCCATTGTGAGAGAGAGAGAGAGAGAGAGAGAGAGAGAGAGAGATGGGGTTTGGTTGTTGAGAGAATGATGGGTTTGTTTGTTGGGTTTTGAAGAGAGAGAGAGAGAATAGAGAGACTATGGGGGTAACGGAGTATATATACGTTGGGGAAGGAAGGCTACAAAGGCGGATGAAGACGCGTGAGTAGTTTTTGCGGTTACAGCGTAATGTACGCGTGTGTATATACGTATACAGGTATGTATGTATACTGTATACTATAATTATACATGTATATTAGTATCAACAATTGGAGTGTGATCCCATCCACAATGGTCTAGGAATCACATTTTAGGTGTGTGGTGACTGAAAAATTGAGCGGCGAATCATTTAGTTATAATATAATTATATTAATATGTTAATACTATCTATACTATTATAAAAAATGAACACCTCTTATGGTGTCCTGAAATTTTACTCTCCCTATGTCATGTGGCAGTATTTTTTATTTTTTTTAAAAAAGTTAGACAAAGAGATGGGCAAGGCTTGAATCCATGACCATGGATTTAAGTACGAGGACTCATACCACTTAAGCTAAGTACACATTACAATATTAATTTTATTATTATTTTTTTTATTCCTACTTATTTAAATTACACACACATCGTGTGTGCCACCCACTAGTCTTTAATAAAAAAAAGAAAAGAAGATATTAATTTTACAATTTTAAATCAAAATATAAGGCATTTGGATAGGAATAATTTGGAAATAAAAAAAAAATGTGAGAAAGTTGATAACAAATGAGTTGGGTCTATTATAAATAAATATTCTAATAATTATTTACTTTTTAGAGCTTTGAAAAAGCAAAAAGAAAAAAAAAGTTGAAGAGTAATTTTCTCAATTTTTTGAACACAAAAAATTTGGAGTTAGAATGAAAATAATTTCAGGTCATTATAATTTTATCCCTTGTAATTCATCATAATAATAAAGCAGTGGTAGTGATAATGGTGATTGTGTAATTATGTTGATGGTCATATAAAGTAGTAGTTTGTGACAATAGAGGTGGAGGAAGTTGTTTGGGGGAGGGAGGTCCCTTGTAATTCATCAGAATGATAGAGTGGTGGTGGTGATAATGGTGATTGTGTAACTACGTTGATGGTCATATAAAAGAGTAGTTTGTGACAATAGGGGTGAAGGAAGTTAGGGTGGAGGAAGTTAAGGGGAGGGGGGGTCACTTGTAATTCATCAGAATAATAAAGTGGTGATGTTGATAATGGTGATTGTGTAACTATGTTGATGGTCATATAAAGGAGTAGTTTGTGACAATAGAGGTGGAGGAAGTTGATGGGTGGGGAGGGTGTGTGTGTGTGTAATAGTAATACCATTGACATATTAATAGGCTAGCAAAGGTTGGATTTAGTGTTTTGAAGTATTTGTTTCTTTACGGCAAGTGAATTCAAGTTTCATAAAGAATAATTCTTACCATTTGAAGGACATACTATGGCTTCGTTTGGGAAGAAAAAAAGTTGAGCTTTTTGGCTAAAATAGTCACAAAAAATAAAATAAACTTTTTAACCTAATAAGACAAAACATCACATCTAATCCATAATCATTATATTCTTTATCTCATAAAAAAGTCAAAAAGATCCAAAAGTCCTTCCCAAACGAGACTTTTTAACCCCAACCAAAAATAGTCAAAATAGTCAAAAAAGTCAAAAAGTCAACTCACTTCCTAAACGAAACCATAGTGACTTTTTTATTTTGTTTTTACTTATTTGAATTCACTATAACAAAAAAGAGATTTAGAGACCAAAGCAGCACATAAATAAACTAACAATCGTTTAAATTAACTTACAATCGGTTACTGGAAGTAATCGGAAAATACATAATTGTTTACTGGCAGTAACTGAAAAATACAGCTTCTACTTGCATCCTTAAAAATTGAATTTTAAAACAATAAACTAAAAATTTTACAGAAACTGAGAGAAACTGCGAAAGAAAATTGTGAACTCTTTCTCCCTTTGAATTAGCCTTGACTGGGGAGCTTCTTTTATAGGCAATGTGGATAACTGTTAAGCTTGTGAACTTGGAACTATGAGACCCGTGACTGGAGCTGTGAGGCTTGTGACTTCAAATATTGGAAAATACTGTGAAACTTGTGACTTCTGAAAAGCCTGAAAATAAAAGGTAAATGGGTGCTGAGAGCATTTTTCTATGACCAAGAACTTTTTTAATTTTTTTTTTTTTACTTATAGTGAGGGAATGTGACTGCACAGTTGACTGATGGGGAATCAATATATATATATATAAGCAGTTTTTTCTCAAAGTAAGAGTACTGATTGAAGTTGATATATATATATGGAATCTAATGACTTTTTTAGGCATATGGGTCTTGAGCATCTTGGAATTGTGAACCATATGAATCATGATTGGTTGAGGCCTCAGAGGAGACTGAATCATCCGAGGCTTCATCTTAAATTTGTGACTTTGCTTGGGCAATCAATAATTTGGCCATTTGGATCAATTCATCACTGGAGGTTGACTTGGGCTTTGCTTTGGGCTTGGCCTTAGATGACTTGGATTTGGAAGGTTCAATGCTGGTTGATGGGCTTCTAAGCCTGACTGTAGTGAGAGGAAGTGGGCTTCCTTGTGTGACTGAAGCATTTACATTTTGTTAAGACTTGACCATTGCAAGAGTTAGGGCATGAATGTTAAAGGGAAATTTCTGTTAGACTTGTTTAATAATACGATGGGCTTTGAATACATCCCACCATTTAACAAAATGTTGACGACTAACTATGTTATTAGATAGACTGTATTGCCATTTAAAAATCCAAGGGACTTTATATTTGGCCATGAAATGGAGTAACCAAGGAAACTGACTTTTATGCTGGCTGAGCTTGTAAATGGAAGAGAAGTAATTGACTTGTCTAATTAACTCAGAAGGGATGATTTCTGGGATGGCACCATGCTGTGACCACCATCTCAGGAACCAAGAAGAGAATTCTGATTTGAATTTGTGGTCAAATGAGAAAAATCAAGAATGACTATATGACTTATTTTGATGTAGGAGGATTTTGAACCAAGCATCAATGTAATCATAGTAACTATATTGTATATCATGGTTGGGAAGGTCTCGTAGCAGAAAAGGAAGACCTCATTCTTCCATGGAAACAATATTATGAATATACAGGGAATGATAAATGATTTTACTGATCTAGACTCGATCATAATTTGAATTTGTGGTCAAATGAGAAAAACCAAGAATGACTATATGACTTATTTTGATGTAGGAGGATTTTGAACAAAGCATCAATGTAATCATAGTAACTATATTGTATATCATGGTTGGGAAGGTCTCGTAGCAGAAAAGGAAGACCTCATTCTTCCATGGAAACAATATTATGAATATACAGGGAATGATAAATGATTTTACTGATCTAGACTCGATCATAGATAGGTTTAATGACAATTGACTTATGATGAAAAAGAATATCCTTATAAACGGTTATTGACTTATCGGGATAGAAAGGAGTGAAATGCCATCCATTAAGGAAATATGATTTGACTAATTCAAGAACATTGTAGATATTTTTTTGGACTGGTTCTTTGTAAAAAAGGTTGAATGACTATTTAAGAACATAATCTGTTCTTGGGGTAGACTTGTTAGGAGGCATTGACGTAATTGACTAGCAGACAAAAGGGTTTGAAGCCAGAGCCGAAGTGTAACTAGGTTTAAGAATATTACCAAGAATTTGGTATCGGTTGACTAGATCAATTGGAGGTGCAACAATGGGTTGACTGGATGGCACAATGACAAGAGGTTTTGTAGTAGGTTTGTGGCTTGACATCTGTAAGAAAAATGACAGAAGTAGATTAGCATCCACTGAGGACATCTAATCTATCTATATGAAAGTTAACTAGATTAGTGTAATGAGCAATGAAATTGAGATAACTTCTAATCTGATTGAACTGAAGGTAGGGGTCTTGATGAAAGTAAGGATCATTTTATAGTGACTTTAAATAGGATATTTTAATCTTATAATATCGAATAGTTTTGCAGTATCTTGTGACTTGTAATCTGTGTGTAGAACAATAAGGAGTAGGCATGATGCACTATCCTCCCTATAAAAATTCTCGGGTAAGGAAATCAGGGATAGAATTTTGACTATCAAGAATATATTCAATATCAAAATCAAAAATACTTAAGATGGATTGCCATCGAGCAAAAATATGTTTACTAACAATATTTTGAACATCTTTTTCAAAACATATTTAGCACTTTTACAATCAACACGTAATAAGAATTTTTGATTTAAAATATCATCTTGAAATTTACTAATACATAAAACAATAGATAAAATTTCTTTTTTAATAGTACTATAATTTTTCTGTGCTTTGTTCCAAACATCAGAATGAAAACGAACAATTTGTTCAGATGACTAGGGAGTGATTTTCTGAAGGAGAATACCACCACAACTAACATCAAAAGCATCAGTCTGGATAATTTTGAATGAATTTTCAGTAGGAATGCCAAGACAAGGCACGGTCTTGACATATTTTTTGACTTGTTGAATAATAGCAGTATAAGTAGAAGACCAAGGAGAAGGATTATCTTTCAACCTATCAAAAAGGGGTTGACAAGTTTTCCTAAGGTCTTTGTAAAATTCAACAATATAATTTAAGGAACCTAAAAACCGTTGTAACTGGGTTTTGTCTAAGATTTCATCAAGGAACTTAGAAGCAAACTCAATAGATCGACTGATAGGAAGAATAGTACTTTGGTGGATATCATAACCTAAGAATCTAACTTTAGTTTGGAATAGCTTAATCTTAGGAGCAAAAATGACTAGACCATTATATTTGATAATATGGAGAAAGGAATTAAGGTGTTTCCAATGTTCATCGAGTGACTTAGAGAAGATGAGGATATCATCTATGTAGACAATAGAAAAATGACTAAAGGGATTAAAAATTTCATTCATAATGTTTTAGAATTCACTAGGGGCATTTTTTAATCCAAAGGGCATGACATTCCATTCGTAATGGCCAAAAGGTGTAGTAAAGGCAGTTTTATAACGATCATCAGGATGAATTTGTATTTATCAAAATTCACTTTTAAGATCAAATTTACT